CCCCATGTATCCATACAACAGAGGTGTGGGCACAGCCTTTTCATTCATCTCCATGTATCCATACAACAGAGGTGTGGGCAAGTCTTTGGGTCAGAGTCCCAAGTCCATGTCTGAGACTTTGGTCCAAGTCCAGAGTCACAAGTCCAAGTCCCTGTTAAAAAACAAGCTCTCCTCCCCCACCGCCCAGAAATAAAAGGAGGGTTGGGTGGGTTCTGAGTTGAATCAGAGTCACTGGGGGTGGGGTGGAGAACAAACACCCCAGGTCAAGTCTGAGTCAAGTCCCCAGTGCGACTTAAGTCCTAATTGACAGCGGTTCCCATGATTTGAGTCCGTCCCTGCCATACAAAAGTATCAGCCATTGCCAAAATAATATTATTCAAAAAAGGAAACCGAGAGTTTTACAGAGGTCAGAAACAACAGTTGCTTTTTTGATGTGAAGACTACAACTCCCAGAATACCCTAGCCATCATAAGATATGGTGAGAGTTGACAGTCAAAAAAAAAAAAGGGAACTCTTCCAATCTCTGACTGAAGTTCATAGTTATCCCAGAGGAACCATCAGACAGACTCGTTCGGCCCTCCCTCTCTCCCACCGGGAGAAGAAGATCCAGCAAGTTTTAAGGTCAGATGTCAGATATCTTCTCTAAGCGCCAAGGGAATTTCCCCGCACGCCTCTGCCAGCCCATTAATTGGATTACTCAATCAAAAGAAAGGTTGACAATCAATGGCTTCTAACTACTCATCAGGGTTGTTTCATGGCAGATTTCGGTCTCTGTCAGACGATTAACATGCGCCGCTAGTGGCAAAAGTTTACTACAGCAAGTACAATTTAATTTGGTTTCAAGCATTCACACCAAAACCAGCTGTTTCTGTCAAGCGGCTGCCCACCGAGAAATTCAACAAAAAAGCTCAAGGCATGAAACCATGGATGTTGGAGCTTTCAGAACAGAAGTGAGACTACCAGCTTGCTTCTCCTATGTTCCCCCCGTTTTGGTCTGGGTGTTGATAATTCTGTATTACCCTTTTTGACTCTACTCTGCCCATTTTTGCTAAGGTTCCTGGGTTTATGCCCCCTACCAGACTTGTAGGAGCAGCAAGAAAACCAGGTTCAACCCTTACAAGGTGCACACTCCCTGTGCACCTTGTTTACCTATGGAATGATACTCTTGGAAGCTCTTCACTGATAAACGCAGGGAGTGTACGCCATGTTTTAAACTTGAAATTCTTTGGGGGGAGAGTCGCTATTGGCGCAAGTTCAGTTGTGCACCATGTGTGTGTACTCAAAAGTGTGAGGCCTGGAGGCATGCCAGGATGCCGTTTTTGACTCACCTGATTGACTGCCCTTATTAAGAATCATGCTTCTTATTCACACATGGCCACTGTCACTATGACATGCCACATGCTGCAAAATATTGTGTGCGGTGGGAGGTTGAGGCAAACGCTATCTCATACCCTGCCTTTTAAAAAAAGTCAGCAAAATATTGACCAGGAAAATAGCTGCGGGGAAAAAATAAGTTACATGCCGTTTGAGTTTGGTGGCGTGGTTGCTATAGCTTGGGTGAGAAGGTTAAACAGGGAACGATCCACACGCTGAGGCTTGCAGAAAAATAGGAAGGCGACGCAAGGGGAGAAGAAAAATGAAAACAGTAACTGATCACCCAAAGCAGAGATATAAATCCTGACTTGACCAAAATATTTTTCCTTGCTAGAAAGAGTAAGATTTTTTTGGTGGTCTCAGAGAAATTCTACACACATCTGAGTCTAGCTTTTGCACGCTCCTGCAGATTGCACAGAAAAAAATACAATAATGTTGCATAAATTGATAAGAATAGAAGCACTGGAGGAATGGGTGGATGGGTGTGCACCCAACTTCATAACTGACATCGACTTTGGTAAAACACAGGAGCCCTATCCAAGCGTTATTGCATCTCATGCAGTCCATACATTCAAAACGGAGTGCCTAAGCCCCATTCATTTTCCATGCATGCAGTGACCAGTCTGAAGAGCTCACGTGTAGGCTCCACATATGGAGAAGAATCCAAATCTTCCAGGATTCTCAATGATGCGCAACATGTACACGCATGTAGAAACCGCTCCTCTTCCATCTCATCCCTGCTCACATGGAGAAAATACGGTGGAGGGCACAGGACTCAGCATTGCCATCCAACTAATAGTAACTTAGATGAGTCGGGAGCAGAGTTAGGACTTTGGTGCGAGGTATATTTTGTGCAAATGGTGGAATCCATATTGGGGAGGGGACGGTTTAGCATTTTTGTCTTGTGCTCAAGTCAAGACCTCTCAAATTGCTGAAAAGGACCCATGAAAAAAAGAACAGGCTGAAGCCATCAGTGACCCAGAGAGACCACGACTTCAACACTCTACCAGAGTCCTTCCATTCTTTGGCAAAGCTCCTTCCCCAAATCTTCTACCCAAGAACCCTTCTGATGACAGACCTCACAGATTGAGACCTTTGTATCAAAAATGTTGGACACATCCACACAGCTGAAACCTTTCTCATAACTAACCATCCAAACCTCCTAATTAAATATTCCAGGGATTGAACCTGGAATGTTTTGCATTTTAAAAAATAAGTTGTGTTGGTCCCTGTAATACAGGAGGTAAGTGGGGTCTTGACTTGAGAACTTAATCCATATTGGAAGGCGGTTCTCAACTCAAAAAGTCTGTAGGTCAAGTCTCCATTGACCTACAGTGCATTGAAAACCGATTAATCCCGTAACAGGCCGTTTTTGTTCCATTTTGGTTTTTTTCTGGTCTGTAAGTCAATTCTCAGGCTGCAAGTCAAACCTAAATTTTGGACTTTTTGACTTGAGAACCGCCTTCCAATACGGATTAAGTTTTCAAGTCAAGACCCCACTGTAATACAGCAAGTTAGGAGGTATTTCCAGCCTCATGGAGGTGATCTGGTGATGAATCTAGAGATCAGTTTCTGTTTCCAGACCTCCTGCATTTCCATCTTTTTCCCTTCCTTGGAAAAAAATATTCCATTAAGGAAAGCCACGACACAAATAGGCACAACTTCTGGGCAATGCAAGAGGCACAATGAGTGGGTCACTTGGAACAGATTCCAGCTAATTTGGGCATCCGTTATTACTTGATATCCTGAAAGTTAGTATATTAGTTCATGAAGAGAAATGCTGTAAGAATGCCAACATAAACACTTCTGGGCGTTGTGCTGAAAAAACTGGGGAAGCGGATACATAGGAAGGAAGACCCCTGGGCTCTTTGTTTCAGTAGCAGTTTCAATATTGAGGAGGAGGAAAGGCTTCTCAAAAACATATTCTGCATTTGCTTAGCAGCGCAAGACTTCTTTTCTGCTGAGGTTTCCCCTACTCAAGCACAAGGGAGAATTTAAAGGCATCTGGCTTTCTAAACTGAAGGTGTGATGGAGAATTTAAAGTCATCTGGCTTTCTAAACTGAAGGTGTGATGGTGTTTTTAGTAAGGAGGAATGGTTAAAGAGACTCGTAGTATAAAGATTTTACTTACCCCTAATCAATCCAACTATATGGCTTGCCCACCAGTCCAGGGTTCAGAAACCACAGGTCATATGCAAAGCCCCAGAAAAACCGACCCAGCCTGCTTGACTCCGAAGACCAACGTTACACGTCGCAAAGAGGCGACCAGTCTCCCAGAATGGGGAAACGAGTGTTTTGTACCCAAGGAAATCAGAAATGTTGTGCAAGGAAACTAAAAATACCAGGGAGGAGGAAACCAGGTCAAAGGCCCAAATAGCTTTTAAAAATCCTTGTTCTGATGAATGCAGCAGATTAAACGTCGTTGTGCAAGGTTCTTATTTCAAGCAATGGGAAAAGACAACCAAATGCTTGTTTTCACATGGAGTTGACATGCTGGTCAGTATGTAAAGGCTCTTCCAAAAAGAACAAAAGTTCCACACTTTTTTTTTCTCACTTGTGAGCACGGATTTTATCAGCAGTCACCTCCAAACCTCCCTTGAAAATGCCAGTCCTCCTTCATTCAAGAAAACCCTCTCTTTAGAACATCTTGAAGAAATCTTTTAAAAATAGTTAAGAACTCCACTGTTCTGCTGGAGCATTTTGCTTATTTAAGTGCTAATTGAAACCTTCTCACAGGGACACTATTAAGTGTATGTGTTCTACCATTAGGTAGCATCTGACCTACTGCTCCTACCAAAGCAACAAGATAATACAATGAGGCGCCACACTTCAGATTTGCTCTAAAGCTAATTAGCTGACCGGGTTCAAAGCAACTGCTTGGAGAAGGAGTTATACTTCAGACCAGATTCGTAAAGAAGGTGATGTGAAAGTGCCGCTTCACATGCACGAAGTGTTTTCTACCCTCCAAAAAAGGCTGTGTTATCTCTCCTGGCAAAGGATTGTGCCAGAAAAGCTAACAATGAAAGCCAGTGTTCTGTTTGTGCAAACATTTATGGCTCTTAATAGCTCTGCGTGAACTTGTATAGGTCACCGCTAGCTAGGTGCTATTTCCTTCCACTCCTGAATATTTTTTAATGGAAATCTGCCTTGTATTTCTTCTTATGAACCAGTGGGTTTTTGAAGATCGGTCTGTGATGGAAGACCACCATTACCAACCGCTTTCTGCAACACACAGCCACAAAGGAAGACCAAACACATTGCACCAAAGGCATTGTATTTGGGTGTGTCGTGCCTGTCCCACAAGCTTTCTTGAGCTCTGGCAGTAAACAGTGAGCAGACCTTCCATTATTTTCCAGAAATCTGCTGCAACGTTGCAGGAGCAGATTGCTCAAAATGGGAAGGCTTCTTTTCAACGCTAAAATAATGGGCTCACTTAGACCTAGGACAAAATGACACTTTATCGAGCCCAAATCACTACACATTTCTGTGCTTGTCATCTTTAAGAATTCATGCGGCTTTATGCAAACATCCATTTTTCATAAGAGGACCTCCAGAGCTGGCACCAAGGAAGGAAACAGTAGTTATTTTCTGACAACCCAGATCAAGAGCGATTGCAGGAAAAGTACCTTTGGTTTGTTAACACCCTCGGCACATACTCTTAATGTGCTCCCGAACAACGAAGCTCTGCCAGTCAACAATGTATTGTGCAGCCTGTTAGGCTATTACAAGACATCAACCTCACTGGAAGAAAAAAAATATATGTATCAAGGAACAAAACAGAACGAGAGTAAAAACAAATAACCCAAAGTGCAAGAGAGTGCACTTTGATACCACTTTTGTTTAATGGCCCATTTTACTACTTATGCACATTTTCCAAATTAACCAAAGAGATGGGGAACATCTGGTGGCTCTCTAAATTTTTCTGCACTATTCCAACCATGCTAGACCATTAGCTACATTGCAAGGGCTGAGAGACTCTGAAGTCCATTATCATGTACCACCATACCAACCCGAGCACACCATCTAGTTCTAGAAGCAGTGCAGAGTTATATCAGGATAATACCTGGAGGGGAGACTATCACACAGAACGTTAGAGATTTCCGCAGAGAGACAGCGAAGAATCCTTCCTGCAACTCTAGAGAGCTACTGCTCCCAGTCAGAGTGGGTTTTATTCATTTGTTTGTTTTGCAAATTTATATACTGCTGTTTTGTAAATATACTGTTTTGTAAATTTATATCCTGATATAACTCTGCACTGCTTCTAGAACTAGAAGGTATGCTCAGGTTGGCATGGTGGTACATTTGTTTGTTTTGTAAATTTATATACTGCTGACTTAGTGTGAGACACTAAGTGGTTTACAAAGATAAAGTAAACAATAATATCAACCACCCAAGAAAACAAGTAAGATAAATATATACAGTACATAAAATAGAACCTCAGGTAGTGGCCATCTCCGGGAAACACATGTGATGGGAAACTTAAGAGAGTTAACCATCTTGAGAGTTGACAATGTTGGGCCAAAATCAGTATAAAGTAGTTTTCCAGTGTTCCTAATTTGGCAGCAGCTGGAGGGAGGAAATGAGGTGAACTTTTGTACTGTGGCCAAAACGTTTTTTGGGGCATAATCAATTGCAAGCAGAATATAACGAGTGATCAAATGAATTTTCAGAGGAGCTGACTCACCAAATGCCCAGTGATTCAATGAAGGTACTTCAAGCTGCCACTTACTAAGCTAAACAACAGGATTCTGGCCTGCATCGTGCTCAGCAGAGGAGCAAATTAAGATGATGCAGAACCTCTCTTAGTGCACAGCCATTACCATTCTGATTATTTTCACTAAACTCCCCTCTGCATCCCATAATTTGATCAGGAACGGCACTGTTTACCTCATCTCTAGAAACAAGTACAATTCTTTCAAGAGGACTACAAGCCCCTAAAGTTGTTATTAATGAAGCTCCCTCGGCAGCAGGAGCTACAGACAGACCGGATGAGAATGAGATATAAATCATAAAGTGATGGGTACATTAAAGCCGACATTTCCAATATTTTGCCTGTCTCACATGACTGCTCCTCGTTATCACCCTTTGTTCCATATTTTATTTATTCTATGTGATTAACTTTATATGGATCTGTTAAAAACATGACAGCTTAACATGGTTATAATAATTGAAATCTATTCAGTCCCTTGATTTGCCAGTTTGTTCTTCAACAAAAACAAAACACTCACTTAGCTGCTTCTGAACAGCAAAGTCTGTTGGAAAGCTAATAACAAAAGCAAAGAACGAGGCGGTGTTTGATTTTTAAGCCATTGTCACCAGGAAGGAAAGGAAGGGGGATGTGTACAATCAAACTATTACAGGTGCGATCAAAGCGTAGTGACAAAATATTAATTTTTAAAAGGTATGTGCCTGTCGCATTAGCTAAAGCAGATGCTCAAGAGACATTGAAGGCTTCCAGTTCCTGGATACATCACAAAACAACAGATTAGGCCAAACTAAACATGGTAAGGAACTCCTTATCAGAGCTGAAACCATTTTAGCGTTCAAGTGATGTGACTTAGATAGACTTTCTGGTCACAGAAACCAAGGTGGTTGTATAGACCAGATGGGCGGGATATAAATCAAATCAAATCAATCAATCAATCAATCAATCAATCCAATCAATCAATAAAATAAGGTTCATAAATCAAGCCCAGTATTTAGCTCTTACGGATCAATCACAAGGGAAAATCACATATTCCACAATCACATATTCCAGCACTTAGATTATTCCCTTTTCCATGATGGGTTATCTGTAAGGAATTATCTGTCCCTTTGTTGCATAGGTTTACATTAGGATTAACCCAGGGATGGGCAATTAATTTCTATGGGGGGCACATGAAAAGTCTGAACCAACCCCCCCAATGGGGGGGCGAACCAACTTCACTTAAAAATAAAATGAAACAGTGATGCTATGATTGCTTTTATTTTAAACTTGTTAATCTTCACAAATATTAAAGAGATTTTTGCAGTATGTTAAAGATAAGCAACCGATCAGTTTTAGACAAAAAGCTATAAATGGTTTTGATGTTCAAAACTGTCCGTGGGCCAGACAGGAGTGGCCCTCGGGGCCGCACTTTGCCCAGGCCTGGATTAGCCTATGTAGTCTTTTCCAGTTTTTCGATTTCTAATTTTGTAGTTTGTAACAAAATGCCTCTCTGTCTTCCTAAACCCTCTTTCAAAGGTACGCTACAGTAACATTTTTCTACTACATACACTACCCTGTACCTCCACTCTTCTCCCAATACAAAGTTGCAAACTTGCTGATTTTATGAGATATCAACCACTTTGCCTTCTAAAATGTGATAAAAAGTTGTGTTTTCTAAGGTGAGGAGCACATGCGAAGACTGTACTGCCCTTTCCTTATGTCAACCATGAACATGGACCTCTCAAGTCTCGTCTCGCACTCTTAAGCCATATGCCACATCAAATATCATTTGGTGTTATTGCTGATTGCTACACTAGAGAGTAGTCACCCAAAATCAGTGGGATGTTATAAAGTCACCCTGCAGGTCCCTCTTATTAAATGGGTCTATTCTAGCTTCCACCAAAAACTGAATTTAGTCCTTTATGTTTAGCACGTTATTACAGTATCTTTACAAGACTTCTTGATCTAGAAAGACAGCTAAAACATTACAAATAAATCAAAGCAAGGCACACGGAAACCAGTACAAATGATGAGCAAGGTAGAATTTTCACAAACCTCATGTTGTTAGAATTGTTATCAAATCCATTAAGTATACAATTTCCCTTTGAAATAAATATGTATCTCTGATACAGCCCTCTTCCTCTTTCTTAGGCCTTTTGTGGTTGCTCTGTAGAGGACAGAAAGAGCAGTAAAATAGAACCCTGCATTGTTCCAACTTATTGAGTTCTTGCACCTATACTTCAAGTACAATTTCTATTTGATCATTATACAGTTCTAAAGTTGTGGTATCTAAACCATGGATGCGTTTTTCCTTTAACCAACTTTTTTTTCTCCTTATACTGTTGTGTATCAAACCATACCAAATACACTTTAATTAGAGAGGGGGATAATAGTTACACTCGCCTGAAATCGGCACACAGTTTTAGTGCCTCTGTATCCTGAGCACGAATTCTACCTCTTTCATTTTTCTATTCTTTTTTCTTTTTTACATTCAACCGTCCAGGTGTCACTGCTGCAACTTACTAGCTGCCAACTAATGAGTTAAGACAACTGCGTTCCCATGGGTTGAACCGCCAACTCGGCTTAAAACAACTACATGTGCTAAAATGGACAGATGAAAAGAATCACATGGCTATATTGGAAATGTGTGCTTATGATGAGCCCATGCATGAATGCGACACTACCTTGAGAACAGATTTAATCCATAGAAAAGATAGCCTAGACACATTCTACATACACCTCCTCCCAGTTCTTTAATGAATGGAAGAGTGGGTGATACCTTTTATCGGATCACTGAAAGAATTCAACGACCTGCAAGTCTCATGGAGCAATTTCATGGTCCTTAAGATTACACAAATGTAAGGGTGAGCGGTACTTTCTATTGGCCCACTCTTACATTTATGGAATCTCAAGAGTCACACAGCCTTTTCCTTCTCCTTTTTGATCCATGTTTTAACAAATCCAAAAGAGAATTTTGAGATTAATTTTCGTAATGCCTTCAGACACTATTAAGTAGGAGATGTCTCGAACTCATAACCACAAATCACACAGACCATTCATATTTTTACCAATCCCCCTGTGTATTCCTTGTGCACAGTAATATTAATTATCCTCAAGGAGCATTTGTCTAGAAAACAGTGTCTTGTTGGGACATGCTTCTGGTTTATCATATGAAATCCCTGTATCTAAACATGGGAAGTTACTGCTTTAAAGTATTCAGATGTTGCTTGAGGATATCAGCCATGTATGGATTGGTAGTTAGTAACTAGCTGTGTCTATGAGATTTCAGCCCTAGTCGTACCACTGAAGTTCCCAGAATTTTCAAAGATGTTTCCAAATTATGCTTCCAATCTTCCCAAAACACGCATAAATGAATGCCCCACAACAAAGCCATAATTCTTTTGCAAGAGTCAATGAAGGCGTATTTTTTTTGAGTGGCACAAGTATTGCACATTGGAACAAAATTATTAATAGCTGGATTAAGCAAACCTGGAGATAGCCAAAAACAATATTATGTCTGACAATTTAGGATTTTCATTTGAAAGAAAGCCATACCATAGCCCACTTTTATTTATACCAACCAGTTCACATAAAATGATCATCCATTCTTTTAAATCATTACCCAACAGCATCCATTTTAAAATACTATGTTAAGCTCTAATAACGTATAACTATTTATTTATCTATGTGTTTTAACTACTTATATAGCGCCATATACTGCCAATAAATTAAAATAGCATCTGGGCCTCTCATCTTTACCACTTTATCTATATAACAACCCTGTGAGGTACGTGAGACTCAGAAATAATGACTTCTTCAAAATCATGGAGTGAGTTTGCTAGAAGAGCGGAGATTTGAACCTTCACCTTCCAAGTTTCACTCCAGCACCGTAACCATTATGTCACAGTGGCTATGTATATGCTTTATAATCCAAAACTTATAGAGTATCAACTTTTAAAAAAACTACAAGCTCCTATATAATTTTTTTAAAACTGTAAAAGTAAGCATGCAATAATATAGAAAAATAAAATACACACAAATTACCTACATTCATTATAATATACAGAAAAGCATAATTTATTTTCAAGACCTTTAATCATATAATTCAGTTACTGCCAAATCAGCACATTGTAAGAGTTAAATCCTTTGTTGTTAAGTCGTGTCTGACTCTTCGTGACCCCATGGACCAGAGCACGCCAGGCCCTCCTGTCTTCCAATGCCTCCCAGAGTTTGGTCAAATTCATGTTGGTCGCGTCGATGACCCTGTCCAACCATCTCGTCCTCTGTCGTCCCCTTCTCCTCTTGCCTTCACACTTTCCCAACATCAGGGTCTTTTCCAGTGAGTCTTCTCTTCCCATGAGATGGCCAAAGTATTGGAGCCTCAGCTTCAGGATCTGTCCTTCCAGGGAGCACTCAGGGTTGATTTAATTCAGAATGGATAGGTTTGTTCTCCTTACAGTCCAGGGGACTCTCAAGAGCCTCCTCCAGCACCACAATTCAAATGCATCAATTCTTCAGCGGTCTGCTTTCTTTATGGTCCAGCTCTCACTTCCATACAAGGGTAGTTAAATCCTGCCTACTCTTTTTCACACCCATCATTTTATTCAACACAAACTCTGCCTACCTCGTAGGGTCATAAGACTGGATTCAAAACGGCTTGCTTCCTTGATTTTTCTGGGCACCAACATACATGGGTTAGAAGGTTGCTTAAGCCTTGCTTTTTGGGTGAGCAAACTGAAGAAAGAAATCTCCTGCCAGGAATTCATGCACAGTTCTTGAAATATGCTTTAAATATGTTTAACGGAAATGAAATGGGACTGTACCTCAGCTTAGCATTGTTT